TATACAGCAAAGCTTTCAGGTGTCATAGCCATAATAGCAGGTGGTTCCTTTGGGTAGAAAAATTATGGCAAAGATGCAGAGACAGAAAGCAAACTGTTTTGATATTCTGGGTACAGCTTTCCCCAAGTGAATCATTCCCATATGCCTTCTTTTACCATGGGCCCTTTTCCAGAGGAAGTGGGTTGTGTGAATAGAGGTGTAGAGGTGGATTGTGGTGGGCAAACTTCTATGGTGCTCATATTTGGCAGATCCAATTAATCTTTTGATATTTGTCATCCCACTCTTATACAAGTTAAGGCAATACTCGAATATGGATTTAATACCTGTTTTTGCTGTCCTCAAAATCAAGAGATTCAGTAGTGCTCATCAGAGGCGAGGCTGCTTCTGAAATTCCATATAAATAGATTTTAAATACAAGCTTATAAGGAAGGCTAAAACTGGAGCCATTTGCAAAGGGTGGTCCTTTAATTCACTTTTTTATTATGAAATATTTGAGACATACAAAAAGTTTAAAGAACAGGTATATACTCTTTAGTGAACATTTGTTGCTTCTAAGATAAAAATCTGAATTAGTGAAAAAGACTTCATTTCCAGATAGAAGGGCAGCAAAGCTGGAAATTGAGTTTTGCCTAAGTTTTTTTTTTTTCTTTCTCCAGAGTGTATAAGACTGGCATTCTTATCATGTACAGGCACACCAAGTCTCCCTTACTGAGCAGGGAGATGCAGTTGCTACCATCTTAATTAAAAGAAAAAAGAACCAACTAAGGTCTAATAGGGAAAGATGTATACAGGAAGCTTGCTAATGGAAAACTTGACTTTTTTGGATGGAAGACAACTACCCTGAAGACCAGAAAGGAAACATTAAGCTCATTAATTCTTGGCTCTTCAAGTCTTAGAGTGGTGTCCGTAACTATCTGTGTGACATTGGGCCAGTTCCTTAGCCTCTCTGTACCTCAGTTTCCTGAACCATGTGATGAGTAGAGTAATAGGTTATACTTCTTAGGGTTGTTACATGTCAAGCCCTTAGAACAGTTCCTGGCATGTAGTAAACCCTCAATAAATGTTGCCTCACTATCTTCGTCCTCCTCAAAGGAACGTTATCATCGCAGGAGAGCAGAAGCTTTGTCTTACTTAGTTCTGTGTCCTCAGCTTCTGTTTTTCCCACAGTAGGCACTCAATAAATATTAGGTGGATGGATTAATTAATGACAATAGCTAGACTTTGAGGCTGAAAATCAAAAAGAATTTGTCTTAAGTTTTATAGCTAGTGAGGGGAAAAACGGACGTTGGGTTTAGAATAAGCTAGGGAAGGAGGGAAGAACCCTAAACTAAGATTAAAAGACCCACATTCGAGTTTAAGTTTTTTAAATTTTATTTTTATTTAAATTTTTTAAAAAGATTTTTTATTTATTTGAGGTGGGGAGGGCACAAGTAGGGGGGAGGGACAGAAGGAGAGGGAGAAGCAGACTCCACACTGAGCAGGGAGCTCCATGTTGGGCTTGATCCCAGGACCCTGGGATCATGACCTGATCTAAAAGGCAGAGGCTTAACCGGCTGAGCCACCCAGGTGCCCCTCAGGTTTAAATTCTTTTAGCTCTCTGAGTGTTGAGACTAAGATTTTCTTTCCTAATTTGTAAAATGGGAATAATTCCCAAAATTATTCTGAGGATTACATTAAGGTGTATGTGAAAGCTACAATAAATTATAAAGGGATATACAAACACATGATATTATTAATTTTTATCTAAGTGAGTTTACCCATTGGATGACAATAAAATGATTCTATGAGAGTCTTGGAAGAAAGAATCTTTAGCTAAGATGTAAGTACTAAAAATATTCAACCCCAGAGGTACCACAGACATAGACTAATTTTTTCCATCTGTGCAGTTTAGGGTAGATTTGGCATACGCTCAATACCAGGCAAGAAAGAAACTATGGTTTAGGCTGCTTTGAAAGTAAAAAAAAAAAAAAAAAAAAAAAAGCAGAAAAGGAAACTATTTCCTTTTATAAGCATGAATGTTAAAATAGGGAAAGCCTTCATCGAATAATTTACCACTGAAGCAGGAATATTTGAGCCATATTCTCTCCCACTTTCCCCACTCCCCACTCTCCCCACTTATGTTCTAATTAGTTCTTTCATACATCATGATTTATAGATTATGGTCACTTCCTCCTCACAAAAGAAAAACAATATAGATTATTCTTTATAAGCCATGTGTGATTCAGAGGTCAAAAGAGCAATTTTTTGTAGGGTACTCTCCCTAGATTAGTAATATTTAAAGACCTGTTTTTCAGAGCCAGGGATTATTTAAACTATTATGGCTTTAAGATTAGGCCCCACCCAAGATGTCTCAACAGAGCCTGAGTTTGAGGTTGAGAAACTGACATGAGGAAAAAGATAAAGGAGCAAAAAAAAGCTGTAGTGGGTCAGCTGATGACTCACTGTCCCTTCCTTGAACTTCAGGAATGACAGGATGAAGAGGGAAAAGAGGCAGTGTCCCACTGTAGACCAGATGTTCTGTGAAAGTCAAGAACTTCAGGAAACTTAATGATCTGTGTATGTTCTTAGGGTAAAGCAATAAATATAATTTCCATGGTTTAGTTGTTAATTGCATCCAAGAAAGGACACCAAGAGAACTAAGCTTGATTGCATTTCACCCTCACAACTATCATCCTAAATCTGATCATTTTATTCTCCTGCTTCAAAACCTTAATCACTATACACTGCTATTGGAGTAAGTCTAAACCGAACAATGGCATAGACTATTCTTCATGACATCATCTCAACCTTCCTTGATAGCTTCACCTACCAATTACTTCTCCTCCTCCTCCTCCTTCTTCTTCTTCTTCAAGTAGGCTCCACACCCGGCGTGAAGCCCAACATGGGGATTGAACTCACTACCCTGAGATCAAGACCTGAGCTGAGATCAAGACTGAGCCACCCAGGCACCCCCTAATTAATTCTTATCACATATCTTGGAAGGTATAGGGGACTACTTATAATTTGCCAAATAAAGCCAGATACTTTTAAGCTCCAGTGCATTTGTTTATACTATTCTCTCTGTCCAGGACTCTCATCCCAGCTGGCAAACCCCTAACTGTACTTCAAATCCTGGTGAAAGCATCATTTCTTGTCTGTAGCTTTCTCAACTCCCACTCTCTCCTACTACTCAGAATGATTGTTCTTTCAGCTGTGGTGTCATTGAACTCTGAGCGTGTATTTGTTAAATCACTTATCCCGATGCATTAGGTAGATTCATCAGGTTTATCCTCTCCCCAACTCACTGCGTTCTCCATGAAGGCAAGTGTGAGCCCGTCATTGTTCAATTCTTGGCACACCATACAAGCATAAGACAGATTTGTTGAATTGAATTAAATATTAGAAGAGGGCCAAAGCATAAAGGGATTTTCTAGGTCTACGAATTATGCTGGGACTAGGAAGTATGTGCTAACTCTACGTACATGATTCTGCTTTTGGTCTTATCAGAGTGCATGTAATTTGCTTTTTTTTTTTTTTTTTAAAGATTTTATTTATTTATTTGAGAGAGAGAATGAGAGAGAGCATGAGAGGGGGAGGGTCAGAGGGAGAAGCAGACTCCTTGCCGAGCAGGGAGCCCGATGCGGGACTCGATCCCGGGACTCCAGGATCATGACCTGAGCCGAAGGCAGTTGCTTAACCAACTGAGCCACCCAGGCGCCCTGTAATTTGCTTTTATTAAGAAACTGTCAAAAAAACAGTATCATGAATATATTTCTTCAGATAAAACATTATTAATTCATTTGTAGCTTAGAATTGACCTTCCCATGACCCAGTTAGCTAAAATGTAGCTGAATAATTTGAAATATTCTCCAACTGGAATGGGATCACATTTGGGGTTTACTTTAATCAGTGCACCCCTGTCTTGCTTTTGCTCTTCGAAGAGCCCCCTTTGAAGGCATGAGCTCAAGGGAAACCAGATGAACTCTGTCGAGTTTTAAACTTGCCACTTTCTCTCCACTAGTGTTCAGCTTTTCTTCTCTAACTGAACACGCTAACTGAAGACATATATAATGTAATATCAATTTATTTTTTAATCTTATTCATTATGCCACCTTGTTCCAAACAGTCTTTAAGAGAGGTTAAAGAAAAAAAAAATCCAAATCCAAAACCAAATTGTTCCACATTTGGTCCATATTCACCCACAGCATCCCAGGGCTGATCATCAGTCAGTGTGATAGACTTTTGGAAAAATTTTCCAGGTACTAGTAATAGCATTTCCTGAAGTTGGATGTTGATTTACAGCAAAGGATTCTGCTGATGCCCACAGGTCACTTCTCTCTTATGATCCAGTATGAGTTTGTTCAACCTTGAAATCAGTCACTGAGGCCCCCTCTCGGGGTACATAACGAGGCAGGTGTTACCCAGCATACAACCTGGCTAAATAAAATTGTAGCTGACTCATGTCTGCAGGTGCATATGGGGTACAGCCTAAAGAGCAAGAGCGGGAGCTCGAGAGTCAGTCTGTCTGTCTGAGTTTGAATCTGGCCACGCCTCTGAGCCGTTATGTGACCTTGGACAAGCTGCTTAACCTCTCTATGCCTCACTGTGTCATCAGTGAAACCGGAATAATAATATCTGCCTTGTGGGTTTGTTGTGTGGAATAAGTGAATTAAATCTGTAGAGTTAATTAATTAATTAATTAATTATTAAGATTTTATTTATTTATTTGAGAGAGAGAGACACAGCGAGAGAGGGAACACAAGCAGGGGGAGTGGGAGAGGCAGAAGCAGGCTTCCCGCGGAGCAGGGAGCCTGATGCGGGGCTCAATCCCAGGACCCTGGGATCATGACCTGAGCCGAAGGCAGACACTTAACGACTGAGCCACCCAGGCGCCCCAAATCTGTAGAGTTTAGAACAGTGTCTGGTACATGGTGAGCACTCAATAAGTGTTAGCTCTTGTGTGTTATACTTTTCCATTTTTGGGTAAGAAAAGTGGGTACAATAAAAAATTAAAGGAAGGCTGGTCATTTTTACAACAAAACTTTATTTACAGAACCGCAACTCAGTCTGTTTTGGTATCACTATTGACAAAATGCCTACAGCTGAGGTATTACTAAGGCGATACACTGACTTTAGCTGTACCTAAAATCACAATCCAACACCATCCCAGTTTCCTATTTCTGGGTGGCTCTGAATGCAGCTTAAAACAAAAACAAAATTCTCTTTATAATGTATAATGGCTTAAGCAAAACACTTCTTTAGTTTTTTTCTATTTAAGGGTTGGAACTGAGACTACACATTTAAAATTTGCTATTTACAGAGAAAGTCCTAGAGAAGAGAATAACTTAAAGATGGAGGTTTAGTTGATCTGCTTTCATAACACAATAACCATATGACTTTAGAAGAATGTAAATAAATAATGTTCCTAAACAGTATATATTGATAATCTTGTGACAAATTCATTTACCTAACATCGTGCTGAGGAATTAAGAGATTTTCTCCATAGATTTTAAAGTTTTATCTTATTCTATTTGCTGATTCACAAAGTCTTGTTCCATTTTAAGGAGTTTTCGTCAGTATAAGGCAGGATAACCAGTATCTATGGAAACCTAACAGCTTGGTTTTTTAAAAAAAAATTCCTCTTAAACTTTAATTTCCAGTTGAGCTTGTCGTATGTATGCATGGTAATACGCATGGATATATGCTTGGTTGACATACACACATGTATATGTACGAATGCCCTTTATTCAAGAGTATAAAATTAAGAGTATCTGGTATCTCACTGTAAGAAAACTTCCCCAAGATTGTGAGGTAGTTGAGTGACACATGAAATAATCTTCTCCAACCTGAATTTAAGAATGCACCTTTACTGGGTGGAGGGGTGGAGAGAGGAAGAGGAATCAGTAGAAGAAAAGAACTACAATGGCTCAAATTAAATTCAGGTAATGAGTCTGAGATAGCAAATAAATAAATCAACAAATGTCCCATTCCCCCCCTCCAAAAAAGAGAAATCAGTAGTAAATCCTTCCTAATACTTTTAAAGTCAATCCATTAATATGTATTTTACATAGGAAAGAGTCTGAATATTATACATATCATTATCCCTCCCATTCATCGAATACACTCCTCTGCTGAGATATCTAATGTGTCTTCATCTGTATTCTCCTCTATCTCTGGCAAGTTGCCCCAAAGTAGGAAGTTTACACCTGAAAAGAAAAACCATAAAATTACTTAGTGCTGATTACTATTACAACTCAGAATATGCTATATGAAACATTGTATGTTAACATTCTTATATGAAACCATAGTGTTAACAATAAAGAGAAAAGATATTAAAGAATGTACCATAGATAAAAATGATCTAATATCATTCATGTAGGGCATAAACATTTTTTAGGCCCTTTCAAGCAAGTGCTTGAATTCTAGAATCTTCGAACTCCAAAGGATCTCAATGGTCCATTTCCTTAAACCCTGCCCCCAGGTATATTATGCCATAATCACTCTACACTGATAATTTTCAAATCTATTTTAATGATTTTTAAGGATGGAGATTATTTTAGATTAAGTGTCTCTTTGGAGGGTACAGTGGAAAGGCTTGAAATAAGTCTTCTCATCTCCTCAACAAGCATGGAAGTAGCTGGTGGCTTTTTTTGTGTGTGTGTGTCATTCAAAAAAGCAAGGTTTTGAAGCCAGTTATAATATGAACTGCAGGTGGGTTTTAGTTTGGGGGCTATGAAGGTAGACCTTTAGGACCAGGTTGTAGCTGCCAAGACAATAAACAAAACAACAATCTAAAGCTTCCTAATGAAAGGACAGATCTCATACTGAAGACTCTAGTGTAGTATATATAGTAAAACACCATACACGTGATAGAGGGTCATGAGATGGTTTATTCTGGGCGCGTACTATATCCTATAACTTGAAAATACTAAACTGGGAAAAACACCATTATTAGTTGACTTCTAGGAGAGCCAGTGGAGTCCAACAAGGAAAGCAAATCTCACACTCTGCAGCTGTCATTGTGGGCACAAGGAGGACTCAGTAGACTCTGGATGCTTACTCCACACACACTGAGATAGTGGAATGAGCCAGGGTTTGTAGATGTGGTTTGAATCTAGTCTGGTAATCGCTACCACTACCAGTACACCATGGATGGACTACCTTTACTACAAATGTGAGCAACTGCAGACAATATATATTATTTTTTGGGTGTATTTAAATTTTTTGTAGTGTGGCATTATACGTAGCTTTTCTAATTTGCTTTTTTCATCCAACATAATTTTTTTGAGATTTACCTATATCCATATGTATAGCTTTAGCTCATTTCTTTTTATTTCTGTATTCTGTTGTGTGAATTAAATATGTATACAGCAAATATATACATATATGGCAGATAGGGCGCATCTCTCATTGCTTCCTAACTGCCCATTTTGCACAGGAACTCAAGGAAACATGTACAAGGAGGTGCACTGTTGCACTGTTGAAACAGTGGAAATAATCAACTCTCTTGGTTGAGATACTAGAATCTAATCAGGCAAGAAGTTAGCATCTATTTCATGCTGGGGGGGGTGGATACAGATGTCTCTCCTATTATTTTCTGTAATTTTTGTGTGTGTGTTTACACTGTTTATAATAAAAAATATTTCCCCTCCAAGAATGAACAGCATTCTGCTTCTGGTAATATGGCATTGATGAACTAACAGGATAATAAGGAATTACTAGGCCAAAACCTAAGGGATAGTTAGAACCCATAAAGGTAAATAAAGGCTGAAGTCAATTTGCCTTTGAGGGCATTTGCCAATCCCAGGGAATTTGAACTGAGGTTTCTCAAGCATCCTCAGGAAAGTTTCGGGAAATCAGGTCGACGTGTGAAGCCTAGCCTAGAACACAGACATGGGACCCTTTCAGTCTAAACATTCTAGAATTTCATAAAGCTTGTGTATGCATTCCTTTGATGCTGCTGATTCAGGTGATTCAAGGACAGTCCCAACACCATGAGAAACCCTGTTTTATACCAAGCCTCTGGAAGGTCTTACTTTAAATCACAATATTAGGGTTACAAAGGAGAAGTTTGATATTCTTGGAGTGAATACTCAGAGACATGAGTAGCTCGGCACAATTGGTTCAAAGGAGAAAAAATAAACTAAGAGATTGGATCTGACAGAAGGAGCACCTTCCTTTCTCTGTTAAGAAGGGAGGAAGGAAATCCTGTGATACATCTGTTTCTCATGGATTAGATTCAGTGTGAATGGAAGAATGCGGGGCTTTTATCTTTGAAAAATTGACAAATATTAAAAAGTAAATCAAAATGGAAAAATCTCCACCCTGTGTTTTGAATTCTGTGAAGCAGGAAAAATAGTATCAAAGCAGAAACTTCCTTTAATGTGTCCCATGATCAACACAAATATAAAACTGGAGGCCCAAGCTAGAAGCCCATATCTCAGGGGAGCTCAGATAAGTCCTTCCTCAAAAATGGCCTTCTTAACATCCTGGAGTCTGAAATTAAGACCTGCAAATGATGGGTTGAGAGCTACAATTGAACGCCAGGTGATTTTATAATCAGAGTCTATAAAAACCTAAGCATAATTGGCAGGTTTGAGGACCCTGAGAACCTAGCTTACAATTCATGATCTTTAGTCTGTGAAGGCAAATCAGCCTTAAGAAAAGGAATATATTTTAAGTTCTGAAGAAGATTAAAACATACATCTAAAAACCTGAGAGTATTGGTGCCAACCTGGATTGTTGAGTTCTTTAAATTGTTCCCACTAAAAAAATCCCCTAAAAGTCAACCTGGTCTCTTGTGTAAATAGATACTAGACAGAGAAGACCTGTGTCTTACAACAAAACTGCGCGGCTCCAGACAATATAAAATGTATCATGTAAATGTCCTTTAAAGAATTGGTTGTATGTTAAATAGTTAGTAAAACATACTGGTATTAAATACTTCCCTCGAATAAAATTCCATCATAATTTATTAATATAGATGTCAAAATGTCTGTTTTTATCCTGGAGCAACATCACCAAGTACAAAGGTTACCTAGCCATCCTCCCTCCCAGCTCCCCACTGCCCCAGCCTCCCCTCCCTGCTTTCCTACACACGCACACACACACACACACACATGCATAATTGACCATCAAATCTAAAATCTTCCAGAATTCCCTGGAGTTATAATAGGTATCAAGGCAACAATTTAGAGCAACTAAAATATTAATTTAAAAAGACGAGAAGAGCCACCTTTGAGGCTCTTGTACATAATGACAACAGCAGAAATGGTGATGAATTTTAGCTAGTAGTTTCCCTAACTGAATGTTTGGGATAAAAGGACTCAAGTTTCACTCTTTCAACCCAGGTAAGAGAGTTTCAGAGGGAATCCTAAAACAATCTATTGAGAGTTTCACTCAGGTATTGATAAATAAATGTCAGGGAAATTTCTGAGTCAGTTGTTTCTTACCGGTAGAGTCTAGTCTGTTAATATCATAAACTGCCTGGCTGTGAAACATCCAGAAGTGTCCATTGTTGCAGGAAAGAAGGCAGGAACAACATGGAACAATCACATGATAACCTACAATGTTCCCACTGAGACAGAAAGTAAATATAATTAGATACCACCTAATAACTGGCCATATAAGCATTTTTATGTGCTAAGGTAAGTAGATAGACCGTACGAAGACCTCATTTCCTCCTAACAACCTCCATTGCTAGGACCTTTGGGATAGGAGTTACTCCAGTAATGTTAAATTTGACAGTGCTACTGCCAAATGGGAAAATGGTCTTTCAGTTAAGTGAAACAATACTAACACATTCTCCATTTCTTCGCTAGTATTACTCTGTGCATTTTCCTTAAGCTAGCTTCTAAATGCCATGCCCTAGGGTCATGATATGTTCTGTAAAGCACCCACAACTGATGTGCTGTGGGTAAAAAGGTTTTTGCTATGCCCAGAACTGCAGCAGGTTAGGTTCTTCTATGTTCTAGTTCAATGCCAGCACCTAAAAACTGTTTCAACAGATGGAGGAGTAGGAAGACAGCATGAGCCCTTGTAAACCAAACACAAGCTGGCTGCTCTAATTTTAGTCTTGGTGTTTTGAAGGAATTCAGAAATAAAGCAATTCCATAGCTTCTAGAGAAAGTTGCAAAAGTTTGTACTGTCTTCAAGATTATCCGTCTGATTATAAGTACCTAATTCTTCCACAGATTTTTTTTCCCCTATGTGGTCACTATTAAATAGAGTGAATATACAGGGAATGTTTTAGCTAGTGCTTTTTCTTTTTTTAAATGACAACACGAACTACTTATACCTTGGGTTGTAAAAATTCTTATTATAGCTTGTTTCCACCCTGTGAGATGTGCGAGTCAGTCATTTTTGTGAGGCCCTATAAAAAAATACCGTAAAAGGTACCAGCCTACCTAAAATATGTCTTCTAATCATAATCTGCTTGGAAAGGCAAACAAATGAAAGCAAGTTGTTCTTGGACCGGGACTGACAGTTATTTGTAAGACAATACTGCAAGAGTAAATTCTATGGCTTTAATCATCATCCATATTCATTCACTCATTCAGCTCATGTTTATTGAGCATCTACTATGTGCCAGGTACTGTTCTAGGTGCTGAGAATCCAACAGTAGACAAAGTCCTTGTTCTCATGGAACTAACATTCTAGTAGGGACACATCAGATCATTTTGATCCCCCGTTAAAATCCCTTCAGGGGCTTCCCATTGGCCAAAAATCAAAACAAAAAACCCCTTCATACCAAGGTCTAGATCTGTGCTATCCAAAATGTGGCTATTGAGCACTTGAAGTTTGGCTAGACTGAAGTGTGTGTAAATAGAAAACACACGAGATTTCAAAGACTAAGAATAAAAAATAGAATGTAAAATATTGTGTTAATAGTTTTTTATGTTGGTTACATGTTGAAACAATATTTTGGTTACACTGGGTTAAATAAAATATACAACTTAAATTAATTTCACTTGTTTCTTTTTTACTTTTTAAAATGTGGTTATTAGAAGATTTTATTTATTCATTTATTATTTTTTAAAGAAGATTTTAAATTACATATGCAGCTTGTAGATTTCTATTGGACAACGGTTCTGACTATATCTCTAATCTACTCGTACAATTCTCTCTTGATGTTCACAATGTCTCAGCCACGCTGGCCATCATCTTCTTATTCCTTAAACATGTTAGGCTTCTTCTTGCCTTGGGTGCTCTGCACTTGCTGTTCTATCTGCCTAGAACATTTTCCCTTGGGGTACTTCTCATCCTTTTGGATTCAATTCCAATGTTACCTTCTGATGAGAAGGCTTCTCTGAGCATGCTACCTCAAAAGAGCTTTTACCTGCTCTCCCAAACTCTATAATTCTCTATCATTTGTTATTATTATTTCCTTTGGAGCACTTTCCATCATATTAAATAGCTTCTTTTTTTTTTTTTTTAATAAGTCTCCACGCCCGATGCAGGGCTTGAACTCACAACCCTGAGATCAAGAGTCACATGCTCTACTGACTAAGCCAGCCAGGCATCCCAAACTTTATTTAAAGTAGGCTCCACACCCAACATGGGGCTTGAACTCACAACCCCGAGACCTAGAGTCCTGTGCTCCATCGACTGAGCCAACTGGCGATCCCCCACACCCTATTCAATATCCTATTTATTTAAATATCTTACTGATGGTAATATCTTACTGGGTGGCTCGTTAAGCGTCTGCCTTCGGCTCTGGTCATGATCCCAGGGTCCTGGGATCAAGCCCCGCATCAGGCTCCCTGCTCACCGGGGAGCCTGCTTCTCCCTCTCCCACTCCCCCTGCTTGTGTTCCCTCTCTCGCTGTGTCTCTCTCTGTCAAATAAATAAATAAAATCTTTAAAAAAAATAAATATCTTACTGATTGCCTTCCCACTAGAATGTCTAAAAGCCAGTGACTTTGTCTTACATATTGCTGTATTTCTAGCTCCCATATCAATGACTAGCACATAGTAGAACTTCAATATACAGTTTGAATGAATGAAAGAATGAATTTAAATCATTATTAGCACATAAGAATTTGAATATTAGGATTATAATTTATAACCCAAACCCCATTTAAGTGCAAAAAAAAAAAATCTCAGCTTTCTTCTCTCTAAAATGGGACTAATAATACTCAAGTCTGCCCACCTCTCAAAAGATAATAGTAGGGCGCCTGGGTGGCTCAGTCATTAAGCGTCTGCCTTCAGCTCAGGTCATGATCCCAGGGTCCTGGGATCGAGTCCCACATCGGGCTCCCTGCTCTGCGGGAAGCCTGCTTCTCCCTCTCCCACTCCCCCTGCTTGTGTTCCTGCTCTCGCTATGTCTCTCTCTGTCAAAAAAAAAAAAAAAAAAAAAAAAGATAATAGTAAAGTTTTCATCTGTGTCATAATTTGTAATCTATTAAGCCTTTTAACATTCATAACACTCTATAAAGTAAACACAAAAGACAATTAAATTTCTATCTTCTTAAGTTGGAAGATAGTTTATGTTTTCTTAAGATATAAATTAAACAAGGAAACAGAGGTTCAGGGGTTCAGAGGTTTAAGGAGTTTACTTGAGATCAGATTGAGAGTAAGAGTAGGGCCAGGGCTCAAACCTGATTTTTTATGATCGTAACTCTATGTGTTTTTTCCTCCTAAACTATGTTGCCTTTTTCTGAAAATGAAAGCAGATATTTGTCAATGCACTTTGAAAAATTGTAAAATCATATACAAATGTGCCACAAGACCCTTTTAAAAAATTACTCTAAATAACAAATGGGTTTTCAATGGCTCATTGCATGGGTTATAACCAGTGCTCGATTCAGCCCACTGAACCTTTCTCCGTGCTGTGGTGTTAACATCCATCTTCCAAATGCAGGGCTATCTAGAATCTTGCCAAAAATTACCATTTTAGGGCGCCTGGGTGGCTCAGTCGTTAAGCGTCTGCCTTCGGCTCAGGTCATGATCCCAGGATCCTGGGATCAAGTCCCACATGGGGCTCCCTGCTCTGCGGGAAGCCTGCTTCTCCCTCCCCCACTCCCCCTGCTTATGTTCCCTCTCTCGCTGTGTCTCTCTCTGTCAAATAAATAAATAAAATCTTAAAAAAAAAAAATTACCATTTTAAACATGCGATGTCCTTCAGTTTACATTTGCAGATTTCAGTGAAATAGCATCTTCCAATGAAGTCCACAGCACTGGAGAGGGAAATGTGCAGAAATAGTCAAGGTACTTTAAAAAAAATGTTGTAAAAAGCACATATAATGTAAAATCTACTAACTTAACCATTTTGTAAGTGTACGGTTCTGAAGTGTTGTGTATTCACATTGTTGTGCAATGAATCTCCAGATCATTTTCATATTGCAAAACTGAAACTCTATACCCATTAAACAACTCCCCATTTCCCTCAGCCCTCAGCAACCACCATCTACTTTCTGTTTCTATGAATCTGACTATTTTATACAGCACATGTAAGTGAAAGCACATAGTATTTGTCTTTTAGTGACTGGCTGATTTCATTTAGTATAATGTTCTCAACGTCCATCCATGCTGTAGCATTCAGCAGGATAGCCTTCCTTTTTAAGGCTGAATAATATTATTATATTGTATGCATATACCACATTTTGTTTATTCATTCATCTGCTGATGAACAATTAACATTTGTGTTGTTTCCATCTCTTGGTTATTGTGAATTATACTGCTGAGAACATGTGTGTGCAAATATATCTTTTAAATCCTGCATTGAATTCTTTTGGATATATATAACTAAATACAAATACACACTCAGATATATACACATGCCCAGAACTGGGATTCCTGGATCATATGGTAATTCTATTTTCAATTCTTAGGAACTTCCATGTTATTTTCCATAGCAGCAGAACCATTCTATGTTCCTACCAATAATGCACAAGGGTTCCAGTTTTTTCATATCCTTGCCATTAAGTGTACTTTTGGTTGTGATTTAGCGTGAATTTTGTAGGCCCAAAAAGGCTGAAAGAGACTCTAAAGTAGAACAATAATATATTTTGTAAGAGTCAGTTAATACTTGTGAGCTTACCATAAATGCAACAAAACTTCCATTTAAAAAATCTTAATGTGTTCATTAATTCATACACATCTTAGCACGTTAATCCATCACTGTCATAACCCCTTCGAGGAAGAATAGACAATAGAAAAAAACCTGGTTCTATTGTAGACTCTGGTCTAACCTCTAACAATTCACCTATCTGAGCCCTCATCTTATTGTTTACTACATCTATTGCAAAGGTGAATGGGTTAATATTTTAAATTTGTGTGCATGTGTGTTATCTGTGTGGATGTGCTACTAAAAAGAGAAAGCCCTAGACAACAAATCATAGAACCTGTGCAATAGTAGGTTCTAGATTTATTGTCTAGTGCTTTTTCTTTTTACAACACACACACACACACACACACACACAGTACTCAAAATAGTAACCCAAATATCTTTGCAGTAAGTGAGAGCTGTTGGCTTTGCCATTAGGCATGACTACACTTAAACCACTTCAGAAAAGATTTCAAGAAAGGAACAGTTCACAGTTTGGAGTGGATTTTTAAAATGTTCAAGTTTCTATCATTGCAAAGTTCATTTTAAAGTGTTATGATTATTGGCCTGCTTCCTCTGGCTCTGTGTCCAAAGACTAGCTGTTCACCCATATTTTATCTCTTTCACTTTAATGATAAAGACCCAAATTTTGAAAATTATGTAAGGGCATATATATGCTGACCATGGAAAGAGAAAGTACGTTTTAGAGCCAGAAAAGGTATATTTGAGTCAAATAAAATGGCTATTCTTCCAAATCGGTAGCAAATTCTTAAGGACTCTACCTACAAAAGTGGGTAGTGTCTGAAAACAGAATTTAAGAGGATTTAATTACGCAAACAAATGCATGGTATCTGAAATAGTGGACAAGGATTGTTTCAGGGCTAAGTCTCCATTTCATCGCATACAAATCTATTTCTCGCTCATTAGGAGAGAGATTTTTGAGAAAAGAACACCAACTTACATGGACAATGGATCTGATTCAGCCTGCCAATCGCAAACAATGGCAGAAAATTATGAATATTTTTTGGCCTAAAACTTCATGGATAAAAATGAAAAATTTAGTGGCCTCTTTTCTCTAACAGTACAGAAAATCTTGCCTGACTTTACCTAGAGTCTAGGGTCTAGGTCATGGACTTGATCCAGTGAGATGGCTGGGCAGGGCACAGCGCCAGGGATTCAACTTCAGGGATGTGGTCACATGACTATAACTGAACTAGAAGCATTACATCAGGACTGACCACTCTGGCTAAACCACAGACTTTGTCCAGACAGTCTGCCCACTTAGTTATAATCCAAGGGGATCATCAGACTGTTGGGAGTGGCTGGAACACCAAAATGATAACCTCCTTGTGGACTCCCAGAGGTCCAAAGCATACACTTTTCCCATTTAAAGGCTACCGTTGCCCGCCACTAGCATGACTTACTTGGTAGGAGGGATGTCTGTAGAGAAAAGGTCTATTTCAGTATCAGCCAGCAAAACAGCCTTCATTCCCCTAGAGCTGAGCACTTGTTTACAGAATTTGCAACACAGGATGGACACGCACCGGTCCTTGAAACTACAAGTGCTGGTAGACATGGCGTCCCGGGAAGGATGCGGTGTAGGATTTTTGAAAGAGGAGACTTTCCTAGTTCGATTCCCCCAGGTTAAAAATCAAATTGCGAGGTCTAGAGCTTTTCTAAGCCCTAAACTTTAGGGAAGGAAATGAGTTCTTTTCTGTTTTCCCGTGGGAGGGTGAAAGTAATATTTATTGAGGAGGAGCAGGGCGAAGCAGCATATGTGGCTTTCCTTTTAATTTTCGGGGAAGGGAGTGGGGTTTGAAGTTGCGGGGGCGGCGAGCTGCAAGGGGCCAGCGGAACTTCTCTACAGTAGGCCCCCCAGCCTCGCGTCTAGAAGGCTCCTCTACTCTTCAGCCCCCGCCCCTTTAGCAATTCCCTAAACTTTCTCCAGCAGTGTCTTTCCTTGAAAGCTCTCCTCCTAAGCCCCTCCCTCCGAGCGCTCCAATTCCTCCCCCTCCTCCCCCGGATCGCCGGCCAGGCGTCCCTACCCACGCCTCGTCTTTGGAAATCTTTCTCCTCTTCCCAGGATCCAGAAATCCCCTTGGCTTTTCCCACCCGGACGAACCCCGGTTCTCTTCAGTCCTCCCGGGACCCTCCCCCGCTCTGCTCGCTCGCGAGCCCCCCTTCACTTCTCTCCTGGCAGCCCCCAGCCCTCAGCGTGCTGGCTGGCTCTCGCGCCGTTTCTCTCGGTCCCCCGTCCCTCAGCTCTCCCTCGTGCCCCCCGCCGTCCCCTTAGGTCTCCCTCCGAGCGGCCGCTCCGGAGCGCGCGGTGGGGTTGGTAGGACGGGGCAGAGATCGCTTTGGGGGCTCAGTCGGCGCTGGGGGCTCTGTCACCGAACGCGTCGTTTTTTGCTCCCTCTTCCGCTCTCTCTGCCTTTCCAACCGGCTGTCAGTTTGAATTGCCGGCGCCGCGCACCGATTGGGAGAACTAGAGTTCGCCTGCGTCCCGCATTGGAAGGCTCCGGAGCCTTCCCCTGCTGAGATCTTAGTGGCTTGGAGACCCTACGCCCCGCCTCAGTAACGGTGCTGTGATCAGCTCAGCTTTATGGTTGGTCGAGCTTGGCTCCGCCTCCGCTCTCATTGGCCGGCCCCGGGAGTTTTGGGCAAATCCTACTCTCGCCCCAGTGAAAGAGTCAAGGCACGCCCTTCGCGCTTCTTATTGGAAGACTTTCTACAGTCCTGAGATCTCTACTCTCTATTGGCTAAAATTCTCCGCAACGCCCCTCCTCTCTACCCTGGTCCAATTGGTCGTGCTTTCCCTCAAGAGTTTGTGTTTGGCTGTTGGTTCCACTTTAACCCCGCCCATTAATTCTACTTTAGGGCTCGGCAACCCGGGGAGGAGCTTACTCTGTGACCACGCCTCGGTGGTGCTAGTCACACCTCCGAGTTTCGCCAGCTCCTCCTTCTCATTCCAGTCCTTTCGGGATCAGCTATTCCTATTGGCTACAGGCCCCATCGGTCGATAGAAAACGGGCGGTGATTGGTAAGGGGGTGGGCTCTGCTTCCCGGCGGGGTCCTGCGGAGTTGGCGGAGGCTCCTCAGGGGTCTAGGGGACCGATCTGCGTAGAAGCGGGTGGCGGGGAAGAGGGGAGGAGATCTCAGAGTGGGAAGCGGAGCCGGGGGCCCGAGACCCGTCGCGTCAGAGCCAGGTAAAGGCTCCTTCCCTCTCCCCTTTCCTCTTCCCGGCCGCCGGGCTGGAGCCCTGACTGAACAAACCCCGGCAGGGGCGGGAAGGAGAGGGTGCGGATGCTGCTGGCGGCATCGCCTCCCGTGCCGCCCGGAATCCCTCAGACCCCCTCCCCCCCGACCCTCTCCAAATCTTCTAGTACAGTCCATAATACTTCTCAGAACTGCATCGCTCTCTGCCCTTCACCGCACAGCCTGGGACTCTGCCCTGGGACTCTGCCGCCGCGAAGCCCGCACCCAGCCCCCTCCCCAAGTCCTCTGCACACGGGCAGCCTTGGTCCCCTTTTGGGCAGCCGTCGCTGGCATCACCCGTAACCATCCGGTATCCTCTTCCCCTGTCTCCAAGCCCTGGCAGACAGCCGGTTACAGCCCAGGACCCAGAAGGATAGTTGTTCCGCACTGCTTCCGGGGCTCTTGCCCTGTCCCAGCCCCCGGCCCGCCTGGAACGGCTCCTTTTACGCACCCCGGTTCCCAGACCGGTAGCGGGTCCCCCAAGTTGCTAACATCCTTACACTTCATGTAACATCGTGGCCCACGGTAGTCTCCTCACCGCCCCCCCCCCGTACCCTCTCTCCACCTCCCAAGCGTGTGCTGAGGCTCCAGTTATCCCCGGCTCCCGTGCAGCCTCTGGACCCCACCTCACACCCCCCTCCCCGCTTCCTGCCCGCCTGAACCACCACGCCGCCTGGGCTCCCTCTTCCTCCGGGCGCGGGAAGTGGGAGACACCGGCGGGAGCCCCCCCACGCGCCCCCCCGCTGCCTCCTGACAAGGAAAGGGTAAGGGGCGACCAAGGAGGGAGGGTAGCCGCTGCGGCACGGTGGGGAGCAAGACGCCCGACTCTGAGCTACCGCTGCTTCCCTCCCGCCTCCCGGGCCTGGGCCGGGGCGGGATTTCCTCCGGCACCTCCTGGTGCGAGGAGTCGGGACTGCCACCCTTCCGACCCCCCCCTCCCCCAGCCTGGGTCTGGGTGCGGTATCAGGGATCTCTGGGCAATGGTGACAAAAAATATCGGGGGTGGCATTTAAGAGTCGCTCTCGTCCCTGGGTTGGGGGAGGCGGTGGCTGCCTTCCGTCCCCCGCCCCCGGGTTTTCCCGACTCCGACCCTAGCCTCTAACCCGTTTCCTGCTTCTGTCGACCACATTGTTTTCCTGGATGTGCCCCGTGCCGAGCAGGCTTTTTCCTGCAGGTCTCTCCCCCCACCCCCGCCCGAAACATTTTGCTGCCAAGAGAAGCTAGTAACCAAAAACAAAACAACTGGGAGGAGGGGCGGGAGGGAAAGAAAAGTTGTGCCCGGGTGGCTTGTCCCTCCCTGGCTTTGATCCCTTTTGATGTCCAGGGAGTTGCCCCGGCCGGGGATCAGGGGCCGCGTCGGAGCCACTGCCGAGAGTGCTCCCTTCAGCTGGCGGCTGCCCAGCGCTGTCGGGGCTCGGAGGCCGCCGAGGTGCCGCAGTCCCCGCCCGGAGCCCCGCGTTCCCGCCGCAGTCCCCACCCGAAGCCCGCGCAGGCGGCTGCTCCGAAGTGTTTTCTTCCAGCCTTAAAACACAATCCGGAGGGAGCTTCCTTCCTCCGCACCTCGCCGCGCCGGGCTCTGTGGGCCGGGTTGGTGTTTGGCCGAGATGAATGGGCCCAGGCCGGGCTTGGAACGACGGCGCCTACCTCACCCCCGCCGCGATTAGGATCTGCGCTGGGGCTGATCGCCCCCTCCCCTTTTCCCTGCATTTACAGGCAAGTGAACCGGAGCAAACGACTTCCGATCCAGTCTGCGCTGCTGCGGCTCCCTTTTGGGATTTGATTTGCAGCATCTTCGAGCCTGTGCAACAAAAAACCGCGAAGCACGCCCAGCCCTCCCCGGCACCCTTTTACGCACCCACTCCCTCCCGGGGACACAGCTGGGCGCGTCCACACCCCCGCACCCCCCACACCATGTTGTGCGGAAGGACTTCCACTCCCTGCCTCTGTCGTTGATGTCAGACCCCAGGCCAGCCTCCGGGCGCTGCAGTTCTCCCGGCTAATGCTGAGGCTGCGGCTCCGGCTCTAGCACAGGAACCAGCCGCCGCCGCGCCCGGCCCCAGCGCCCACCGTCTGCATGTGCCCGCCGTAGCCTTCTGCCCAGCCCGCAGCCCGCGCTCCCCGGAGCGCTGGAGACCACCGCGGGGGGCCCCTTCTGCTCTTGGGAGAAGCAGTCTTGGAGGTATTGATTTCGGTGGTTGAATTTTTCCCGTGGATCTATCAATTCACAATTTGAATTTGGAAGAAAGAAGGAAAACATGACGTCTCCGGCCAAATTCAAAAAGGATAAGGAGATCATAGCAGAGTACGATACTCAGGTCAAAGGTAAGGGCTTTGAAAAATAGCATAATGCATATGCTCTGTGGACCATTGAGGCATGTATTTCCACCCTGATTTGCAGGATGTTCATTTCTTTGGGTGGAGCAGGTGGGGGCAGGCTGAACCCAGAGGTGGTTTCATAGGTGGGTTTGAGCCTCCGAAGGATGGGCTGTGCCAGGGGCCACCAGCTCTGGAAAGGAATTTTCAGAGTGGGCTTTAGGTTTGTTCTGTAGGGCTGGCCCTGATTTTGGCAGTCCTCCCCCCCCGCCCCCCGCCCCCGGCTAGATAGGATGGGGGGAGGGGCGGGAGGTTCTTGGAGAGAGAAAGGCGGCAATTTGCCTCTGGGTGTCTGGGTCAGGTTTCCTTGAAGGACAACTGAAATCTGACAGGTGTTTGGGAATTTATTTCTGAGGTTGAAGAGGAGTCCAGATAGAGAAAGGCAACCTTGAGAAGGTATACCATTTGGGGAGCCCTGGAAGAGGTGGGGGTTTTTCCTGATGCACTGTATCAAAAGGTGACATTTGCTATGGCATCGGACACAGAAAGTCTGTAGCCACCTTGGGTGCACCTTGTACCTGCCAGGTCTCTGGTTGCCTTGCATTCAATCAGAGATCAGCGAACAGAAAGAATAAGGTCATTTCACACCCTGTCTCCGCCCTCACCTAAACATGAATGGAGTTGGGATGTTAGGGTTGCTGGGTGGTGCTGATTCTGGAGAATGGGAAGACATAATTGTTTAACCCTTCTGTGTTGTCACCCTCTGCTCCAGAAGGCGTGCTTTTAAAGGCCCACTTCCCTCTGCAAAAATGTGAAGGGTAAAGCAAAATGTGGACCTAGAGAAACCAGCTGACCTGTCTGCACATTTAGTTGACTACCTGACTTGGTGCATGAATCAGAGCCCGTTCCCAGACAACCTTTTTTTAACCAGTCGTTCCCATAGGAGGGTTCCCGCCTGTTAAAGAGCCCCAGGATGTGTTTGTGCAAGGCACTGTCCCTTCCTGGGCAGCCACTAGGAAGAGCCATGTGCTCTAGCCCATTGAGACTTCAGCTGGGGAGTGGGAGAGGTGGGTGGCCTTGAATGTTACACCACATGGTTGGAGCTCTGGGTTTTCCTTTGTTTCAGAGTACAGAGGGAGGGGCCCCTCCTTCTTTCCCTGCACCAATGCAAGGAGACCTTTTCCTATCATAGAGGACTTGGGAAGGGCCATGTCTCCCTTCTAATGATCGCCTGGGGTGGGGATAGTGTAGAGCTTGAAATGGGCAGCTGCCTTATCTCTTGGAAGGTTGGAATGCAGTTTGAAGTCCCCATTTTGCCTGTAGGATCTTTTTAATGTCATCAGCTTGGTCAATGCTGGAGGTGCCCTGAGGGACCTTCTCTCCACTTGGCTGCAAATGTTGGTGGGTTTATTACAGAGATGGGGGAGTTGATTGATTGATAGCTTCAGTTGAACAGGGATTGGGAGAGGTGTGGTTGTGAGTTATAATTGAGGTCTTGGCCCCTTGTCACTGTTCATAATCTGGGCCTGTTTTTGTAAACAATAGGCCACTGGCCTCTGTGTCCTGTCCAGATGCACTGTATTCTGCTCCTGGAATCCCCCTTGCCATTTTAACCAGATATGTCGCTCTATTTTTTTACATATCCTATTCTTAACTGTTGCCATAGGGAGTGTTAATAACTTTGACTTTCCCAGATTTCTCTCCAGAAGCACACCATTTGACTAAGGTGCAAAGTGATTTTACATGTTTATTTTTTGGAAGGTTCAGGGCTGATAGGTGTTAATAGAACCTTGTCTGCTGATTCCTATTGGTGAAAGATTTCTCACGAGTGTCTCAAAATTGAACACTTGTGTATTTACAAACATTGCTCATTGAGATGATGTAATGCAGTTGGCTGTTTGGGGTTTCTCTTCAACCTTGCCGCAAGCAGGGGACTGTTTTGCTTTGCTCTGATATTTTCACTGACACTCTTCAGGATCATAGAATTTTATAGGTGGCCGAGCATGATGTCTTACTCAGAGAAGGTGCCCGATAAAAAACTGATTTAAATGATTTAGTCCCTCATTTTATAGTGGAGGAGAGTACAGAGAAATTAAGAGGCTTGTCCAAGGTCACACAGCTAGGTGGTGGTAGTTGGAATGAGGAGGTTACCGACTTCCAATTCTTTGCTTTATTCTGTTCCTACTTACCGTGAAACATCATCTGACCAGAGTAGGAAACAAGAAATCGGTAAGAAGCCCAAATCTGTCAATGAATAATAGCAGTAGTAATAATAATAATGGGTTACAGTTTGGGTGCTCATGACGTTCCAGCCTGTTCCAAGTGCTTTATATGAGTTGTCTTGTTTAATTCTCACATCAACCAGGAAGGTAGATATTATTTTACCCCGCATTCAGTGCATGAAGAAACAGGCTTAGAGAGGGTGAGAAGCCTTCCCAAGGTCACACAGCCAAACCCTGGCAGCTCGACTCCATTCCCTTATTCGTCAGCCCTTTATTTA